ACTGGTGTTTATTGATAAAAAATGCAAAACTCCATAAAATACAAGTTTCATACAAAATATAAGAAAAAACACTAAACTAATTCACATGCTTTGCTTAGTCATAACAAACTGTTTTGCAGATAACGAGATGAAACCTTCCCATGAGAAAATCCTAACAGTTTCATCTTTAGCTAAATATCCTGGAGATAAAGCAGTAGTGCAAGAATGGCTGCTCTGCCATGTAAACTTCTAACTTCAGTCTGTTTCTTTTTATCAACAGAACCTTACACTGGAGCTGCAGAATGTGGGAAACTATAGCAGTGACCAATAGCACTGCTCAAGAGGTGGCCAGATGTAGGGATAAGCTTATAGCTACCGCTAGTGTCCAATCCACAATGTTGCTCATCAGTGGCCCTCCTGGAGCTCTTCAACTTTCTCACTGGGCCGGTGTTGTGGTTGCCCAGAATTTCAATGCTGGGGAATACCAATCTTCATGCCTTAGAAGTAGAATCTGAGATGGCTCAGGATTTCATAGCTTCCTTGCTGACCACGGGTTTGTACCAGTAATCTCAGCGCCATCTAATGAGAGTGGGCACACACTGATTTGATTTTCTTTTCAGACCAAATGAGATGTGATCTGAAAATGGATCAGATATAACCGTCTGTCTTTTGCCATGTTCAGATCTTTCTGGTCAAGCTGCAGATCCCCCAAGGGTGGTATACTTATTAGGATAATCTGCTCCCAGATGCCTAATTGATAGTTGTCTAGACTTTGCATGGGGAATTTCTCATTAACATGACAGGCAGCTCAGTTCTGAACCTGATTAACCTCTAGTACAAGGAGACAATCAGAGCTCTTGACAAGAGTGCCCCTGTGAGACTTCTTTTCACTTGCTGATCATATACAGCTCTCTGGTTCTTGGAGATAAAGTGAGTAAAAAGACACAAAGAGCAATTATGGCATAAAACTAGAAGTGTATATGACTGAGCACTAGTAATAACAGTGATGAAGCATATAATTTTTTTTCAATTTGTATTGCATCTACAAATTCACAACAAGCAGCCTCATTCCAGATGACCTGGACTCCAATGGGGAAGGATGAGGAGGACAAGGTGCCAGCAGGCCACTGTGATGTTTTGTGGGTTTCTTTGCAGATAAAATATTTGCTGAAAGTTAGACACCAATTGAGCAGAGCCAGGTAAATGAATGGGGCAACATCTTCTAATAAGAGCTAGGATTCTTTAGAACTTGTGGAACCCAAGGAAGTGGATAGGGAGATGTATAGAGAAAGTGAATGTAGTATAAGCTTCTCTGCTTGTGGATCGTGCTCATGCCCAACCTGGTTTCTTCAGACAGATGTGGGGAGTTAAGTCAGCTGGATTTGGAATATGATTAATGTATCCTTTCCTAAAGAGACCATTTCTCAATCCAACCATTCAGGACAACTTCCATTTAGACTCTTACTTTCCTCTATTGGAAAAGGTTGTTGAAAGGGAGAAGAAGAATCAGTTACAAGGGATTTTTTAAGGAAACAATTTATCTAGATCCTTTTCAGTTAGGATTCAGGCTTAGACATGGAATGGAAAAAGCATTGGTCATTCTGGTGGATGACCTTCACTGGGTTCTGGATAGGAGGATTGTTCCTCTCCTGGTTGTATGGGAAGTCTCAACAGTTTTCAATACCATCGACCATGGTATCCTTTGGGACCTCCTCTGAGGGTTGCATTTGGAGGCACTGTTTACTCCTACCTTTTTTGTGTGGAATTGATTGAATGATGGATGGATTAGGTACCACCAAACAATGGTTGGTACTGACTCTTAGCAACCACACAGGTTATACCCTGTCTAATGCAAGGTTGGGCAATGTATAACCTTTCAGATATTGCTGAAGTACAGTTCTGAGCATTCTCATAAATGGCTTTCTTATTAACAGAAATTGTACTTTGGCAAACTGTAGAGAATCATTTTGCCATCCCAGTTATGCTGCTTCATGAATAATTTGAACTCAGGAATAGAGGTGGAGGCTGGAGGCTGTCCTTAATATTTTTTATGAGGACAAGCATCACATTGGTTGAACCATTATGAAAAAGGGGGGTGATTGTCTTATGCAGATAAGTGGGACTGGGATTTTCCATTTCTTTTCCTATATGGCTGAGTCATTCCTTTTTAGACTGCATAAAGCCTATTTAGGGTTACTCAATGATGTTCTTGTCTTTTGTATGACAAAATGGCGGGAAATCACACTCCTAATTTTCAGCTACTGCACCACTGAATTTTGGAAATGGCTTTCAATAGGGCACAATGGGTACTCTGCCCAGGACCTAATTAAGTTCCCAAAGGCCTATGGAATATTAACTCTGATAATGCAAAAATGAAAATGAAAATAGCTAAATCAAACATTATGATTTGTCTTAATTGAATTACTTTACACCTTTTTATTAAAATAAGCATTTATTGACAGGGATATGGATATGGGAGTGTCCAAGGTCCTTGAAGATTTTATTCTAGTACTTGCTTTGAGGGCTACAGAAGTGGGGGCTGGGGCTGCTTGCAGCCCTGACCTTTCAGTTGTCTACCCTAATTTCAGTGAATGTGAATGAGGATTTAGACTTGCTCTGTGCCAGCTATGTGACTGTGTGAAGAATTTGGGCTGGTATTTATTTTGTTTAGCATTATATTTGAATAGGGAATTCTGACTTAATTGCTCCTGTCACTATTATTAGTTTAGCCTAATACTGAAATCAAATACTTTCCAATTGGTTTAATAAAACTGCTTTAAAGGAATGATTTAACACTTTTTGCAAATGATCAGAGGGTAGAATAAAGTTGTCCCTGAAAACATGTGAACATTATAGAAAGTGAGTGGATTTGTCCATGCCTGATTTCCTGTTCATTCTCCACTTATCTGTAATTTTCCTAACAGAAGATATAACTGGTAGCTTGGCCACTAGCTTCCCAGGAACTTTATGGAGTCATTCTTTACTCCTTAACTCTCTCTTGTCCAAACAATATTTCTTCATGGTAATAAAATTGTAATTCTGTTTTTCATAATACAGTACTTTCCTATCTCAGAAAATAAAGCTGATCAGTCTTACTTTCACCAAGAGAATATAGTTCAGTAAATCTTTGTACATGGCAAGTTGCTGCAATGTTATTTCGAAAGTGCCCCTGAAATATATAGGCTTCCTCTTTTGCCTGTTATAATAACGGTGATTTTCTTAGTAACTGACACAGTCCAAAACCATGTGGATACAAGAAATGGGCTGAATGCAGACCAAGATATTTTCATGCAGACCTATAATAATCTTATTACATATGACAATAAGTTGAACTTTGAATCAGAAAGAAAGGGATGTGTTTTAAAAGTTGAAGTCTGTTACTGATCAACTAGAAAGAAAGCTTGAAAAGGAATACACTTTTTCATCTGGAGGTGAAATACTTGTACTTGATCAAAGTCAGAACAGAAAAGTACATCTGGAGTTCACTCACAGCACAACCAGTTTGTCTTTGGGCTGGGCCTTCCTTGCAATCAAAATATAAGTCTTATTTGCAAAGATCCCAATCCACAGGCATATTGTTCTATCATAAGAATTGTAGGAAATACATCTAAAATTAGTACAACTTCTATATTGATCCAAACTTCAGTATTTTCTTTTTTAAAACAACATCATGGAATAGAAATTTTATTTTGCTATATTACACAATTGAAACTTTTTAGAAAATTATGGGTTTGTCACTCATTTAATTCTGTAATTAAAGGAAGATAGGCAACCTGAAAGCAAAAGAAAGTATGTGGTGTGCAACCACATCAAAAAGAGGCAAATCAGTGCTTTCCACAATCCGCTCTCTTTTTTGTAGTCTTACATTGCATGATATGCATTGAAAACACTGCTCTGCCAGCACCAGTCGCTTCAAAGGAAGAGCCATGTGCTTCATAATTTATGATGCCTGGGAGCTATGCCCAATATTGACTGATAATGCTCGGCCATAAAGAGAGTAAGGTCTAGAATGCTACAACATTGCATTTATGAAATAACACTTACTTTGGTGAATTGCAATAAATATCTTTTAGATCAATAAGAACTTTGGTAATACTTCTGCTTGGTGTTTGTTTTGAATCAACTTTTTCACACGTGTGATTGGATATAATACTCTACTCCTCCTTCAAAATCAGTGGTATACTTTTCACGCTATCTACCTTTCACTTCCATAGAAGACATGTCCCGTGTAAAAATGCTATGTTGATTTATTAAAAGCATTTAGGAGAGTAAAGTTGAATGTATAGCTTGTTATCTGTTAAAGTTGTCTAAGGCATAGCTTACTAGTGAATTATTCAAACAAAATTATCCTGTACCTTTTCTTCTTATGTGTCTTTTCTGCCTTTTTTTCTCTTTTCATTAATTCTAGTTAGCCATACTGGACAAATCCAGTATTCTGGGAAGTAGAGAGCTGACATGGAGAAAGTCAACACTGTGATTACGGAGTTCTTAATCTTTGTGTCCCAGGGACCTCTTTAAGAGTCTGGTGAAATCTACAGACCCTTTCTCAAAAAAGCATACTTAACTGCATAAAATAAAATGCATACAGATTGAATTAAAAAGGAAATCAATTATGCTCAAATGAAATGTATCAAAATATTAAAAAATAAAAAAATATATAATATATGTGGTTCTCTATTAATGAATAACAAGACAATACCCTTTTCTAGGCTATAATTATTTTAGATAGTGAGATTTATTGACGTTAACAAACATTTTTGGAATTTAGAGGCCATACATTACTTTGTTTCCTACATACATTATTGAATGAAAAGCTAAAATTCAGTACAGGTTATTGAAAATAAAGTTGTAATTTCTTTCCCATCCAAATTCACAGCCCCTGAAATCTATCAATAGGCCTACAAGGGGTCCATGGATCTCAGGTTAACAACCCCTATAATAGCATAACAGAAGTTAATACTTACAGCTTTTGTATCGAGGGCAGGCAGGTTGATGTGTCTGTTGCAGTTCCATAATCATTGAATCTAACATCCTGATGTTCTCAGCTTCCACTTGTTAAAGTAGCCTTCTTCAGCTTTGTGCTGTCAAATATCTATTGGGACTACAAGTCCCAGAATTGTATGCTATTGACCATTATAACTGGGAATTTTTGTTTGTAAATAATGCTTAATAAAATTTCAAAAGAAAAAGGCAGAAATGGAGTTAGATTGCCAGTATTCAGGGAAATGGCTTCATTATTCAGTATTTTTAACACAGTTTACACATATCACAACATGTTTTTTTAAAAAACAAGAATGCATGTCTATTGGCATTGTGCTTTGATATGCCATGATGCTGTGCGAATCATTTGAAAGAAGTGTTTCAAAATATGGGGGACAAGCCACAAAGCACATTCACCGAATACAAAGGGAGGTGCTTTGTAGAGTGTCCCAAAAGCTGCATCATTTTCTAGGCTTGAGTAGCTGCTTCAGAAGCTGCTCCCAGCTGTCTCTCATGCGTGTGCATGCACAGCCATTTTGCTTTGGGGGGAAACCCCTCCATTTTTAATGGACTCTCTCTTTGCTTCTCTAGGTCTCATCATGGGATTAATTTTACGGTATGCCACAGCACCATCAGATTTTGAAATTGGAAATGTCTATGACTGTGACAGGCTCAAGGCTGGCTTGCCCACCCTGCTTGTCAACATCACAAATCAAGTGTATGAATATCAGTACAGAAGGGAAATAAACCAGCTTAATGTCAATGCACACCAAGGGAATGCAATGCTGCAAAAGGTGAGATAATTATCCTCTCAATGTAGATGACCTTACGTTATTATTATTTCTGATCAATCATCATGCTGCTAAGAAGAGAAGCTGAGTGACTTAATGTATGATCCAAGCAGTTTATTTCCCATCTTGATTAATTGTTTACTTGCAATCAGAAAATAACCAGATCTAGTTCATCTTTGCTGCTTTCACACTTTGAAGGCTGTTGTGAATATGAGAAGATTCTACATGGAAGTCATGTCATGCAAAAAATGAGATACAACCTGTAAGATAAAACAATGTTTCTCAACCTTCGTAGCTTAAGTTCTACCATTCACTCTGTTCAGGAATCTGGGACTCACCAAGATAGAAGCAAAAAACCTACTTTGGGTTCTTAAGTCTAAACCTCTCAAAGGCTTCTCTTTCTATTGAATTACTCAGTTATGTTCCATGGTGCATCCAGAGTGCTCTGCTTTTCTCTCTGTCTTTTTCACTGTTTCCTCATTTGTGTAGGGGAATCACTAATCTAGATTACTTCTACTTGCTACCAGTGGTACAACTGGTTGTGAAGCACTGAGACAGGACCTCTCTCTCTCTCTCTCTCTCTCTCTCTCTCACTCTCTTTCTCTTTCTCTTTCTCTTTCTCTTTGCTAATTGATTCACTGATTACATGCCATCAAGTCTTTGTCAACTCTTAGTGACCACATAGATATTCTCCATGATGATCTGTCCCTAACCTGGTCCTTCAGCTCTTCCAACAGCACCCCCACCACCACTGTAACTGAGTCGCTGATGGTCATCCTCTTCTTCTCTTTCCTTCTACCCTTCCCAGCATTAGAGCCTTCTCCAGAAAGCTAGGTCTTTGCATACTGTGTCCGAATTTGCTCATTAGGTGTATGTAATCAGCACAGATTTTCAATGCATGCACATGCATAAATATGTACATATGTTTAACAAAGCACTATCTATGACAAACAATTCACATGGAGACAAGTATTCTCAAGAATTGTCGTGTATTTGATATATCCCAAGTTTATTGCAGTTCACATGTGGGAGAAGAAGCCAATTGCATATATATTTTGCCACTTAAATTTAACTTCCATAGCCCCAGTTGCCACTAAAATTTTGCATGTAGTTGAATGCATGCACAGTTCTATCCTGAAGAAAGTTGAGAGACTCCTTGGTACATTAAAAATGTTCTATACATTTTTGGAGGCAGAAAGAGAATCTGCAGGGTAAAATAAACATACAGAGATTGTTCCCTAAATATTTCAGCATTCTATGAAATTAGTTTCGAAGAGCAAAACAGTCCATCATACTATGGTTATTAAATCCAAATTAGCTTAATTCTACTTTATTAATGGGATCCATTACACATGTCTAGCTTGGGTTGGATCTGGCTGAGGAAGCACAATTCTAACCATCAAAACAAATAATGTATCTAGCCTTTGCTGGAAATATGCCCTGTCTTCTTTCACTTATTTGATCATGATTAAAACAAGATACGGCTACTCTTTATGGACTTTCTACTGACACCAGGACTGAAAAGATGATGTTTTATGGATTTGTTTATAGATAAGGGATGGGATATGGAATGAAGAGAGAGATGTATGTAACTCTAGAGAGGGTGAAGAGTCACTAAATTTGTTTATATTTGTTGTGATGAAGGTTAGAAGTCACTTTATATATTTCTTTTTCTTTATTATATTCTTACTCTTCTCTTTCTTCTGTTTCCCCTTTTCTTTCTTTTTTCGTGTACTTTTACTCCTTCTCTGTATTATCTTTCTTTTCTTTAAGTTTAGTATGTATTAGATTTTACCATTATAATCAAAATTCTTAATAAAAAATATATATTAAAAAAATCATTAGTAAAACCTAAACATAATTGCATTAAGTAATATATTATTAAAGTCACAACCAACATTAGTAAGGTAATGTTACTTAATTACTTAATTAAGTAACATTACTTAAACATAGAATTGTCCTCTTTCTAAGTAATTCTTTTTTCTTTTCTTTTTTTAAAAGGAAATTCCAGTAAGTAAATAATATAGCAAGCCAGCTACAGAACTTAGATTACAATAATAATTTTGTGATTTTGAGAATTTGAACTTTTGGCTTCTTAAAACTGTGCCAGTTTTCCTTTTGCTGGGTCATTCTTCACTATGCTGTATTTGCAGCTATGACCATGTTATAACTTTTGAATAATGTGCATGTCATTACTCTCCCCCATATTAGAGCAGAAAAGTGAGAAAAATGCTTCTCTGGGTTTAATTTCCAGGTTAATGTACCATTTGAATATATCAGTACAAAAAAACCTAAATTATAAAAGTTCTTGCTCCTACATTTCCTCTCATAAAGTTGTCAATGAAGCAAAATTTACTTTTGCTGTTACTGGCCAGCTAGTTGACATTAGTTTAATAATTCAAAGTATGCAGAATGGCTTTTAAAAAATGCTGAGCTTCCACTTCCTGTTTATCACTCAAGCTATCTGCTGGAAAAAAGAAGGAGGAAGTCGTTTTGTATTTGTATTGTTACAGAACTAAATAATTCATCCAGGATCATAACCCCATAAGAGAAAGGCACTTTATGGGAACAAAAAAGCTATAGATCATTTCCCTAATGACATGTTCTTGCTTTTAAAGATATTAAATCTAGCAGAAACAATTGAAGATACAGTTGAATTCAAATCCTTATAAAATATATTTTATATAGTGGGTTTCTGTTTTAAACTGTACAATGGTTACTAAAACTAAGTGTAAAAAAATGCAGTCTGCAGGCATAAAAGTGCTGAATGCAAGTATGAGTATATGGACTGCACTGGCAAACATGGTATCAAAATTATTAATGCATTCATTAAAATTTTCCCATTCTCACCATTGCTAAAAAATATAAAGAATAAGAATAAGAATAAATAAAGAATAAGAATAAAAAATAAAGATAAGAATCAGGCTGTAGATCTCTAGATTTAAATTTCCCCAATGAAGGTCTAATAATGTCTGGCAACTAATACTCCTGGAAACAAGACAACATCTTTTAAAAGAAGCATGGTTTAAGTTTCTGGATTAGGTATCTGGGACAAAATCACTTATTTTGATGTAATCCACAGTACTTCCTGTACCATCTGACGTCTTATTTCCATGCTCTGAAACCTAATTATATTAGAGCTGATTATTACTTCACCCATATGCTCTTTGGACTTTGACTCTTTTCCACAAAACCATATTAGATTAAAACTGTTAATTTCTTGTAGAAGTCCCCTGAATCCACCTTTTCAGCAGCAAAAGGTGGATTCAGGGGACTCCACAAGATGATTCATTTTGAAGCCAGCTGCAGACCCCTGTGATCCTACAAAGCTGGAAGCAGTTGAGAGTAGAGACAATTTATACCCAGCTGCATTGCAACACATCTGACATAAAACGAGTGCAACTGTCCTTTTGTTACACTGAAATTCAAGAGCTTCCCAGTAGTGGGAATTCTTGCATCATTCCCCCTCCCGTCTCTGGGCCAAACCCAGCCTTTCCCTCCTCCCCACGGAGGATCTTATGTTTTGCCTACATGTTATTATTTCACTGCTCTTTGAAATACAGCAAACAGTACAGCACTTCTCCCTCCCCAACTACTGTTCGTTCCAGTTCTTGAAAAATGCAAAGAACATGAGATTAAAAGCATGAAAGTCACAAGGGGAAGGGAAAAAAAGGTTGACAACATCTAAGCAGGAGGCCAAGATGCTCCCTTCAAACTATTCTTTCTAAAATTAATTTTGACAATATCTTTTGATTAAACATTGATTAGCCAGGTTGCACTAATTTTATTGCTTTTATTTGGAAATCTATGTGTGTATTTTTAATCTTCCTGTTTTCCCATTATTTTCCAAATAAATTTTGTATATATGCATCTGGACATTATGCTTCCAGTAGAAGAGAATACATGTAGCTCAGGGTTGAACTGTAGAGTCCTTGGGGTTCTCTGAGCTTGGTTGTTTTCTGGCAGATGTTTCATTACCCGACTAGGTAACATCTTCAGTGATAGAAAGGAGTGGGGTTTGCTCTCTGTTTATATACGGTAGCTTGCCCTGACAGTGTTGGAGTGGGTGTTGTTTTTTCCTTGGTAGTTCCTTGATTAGGGTATTGCTTACTGCTTGATCGTATGTCTGGTTTTAATCCTGGTGTTAATCCCTTCTTATCTGGGTGTTGATTGCTGGTGAGGAGGTGTTCTGGCCTTTTTGTTTCCTTTTAATTGTCTCTTTTGAATGGTGTGTAAATGTTGTTTATCTCTGTGTGTCTGTTGATGGCTGACTTGTCTGAATACCAAGCTTCCAGGAAATCCCTCACATTTTTGGATTTGGCTTGGTAGACCAAATTAAATCCCAACACACGAGGGAATTCCTAGAAGCTTGGAATTCTTATGCATTCTAATGTGCTGAGACATATGTCTGAAAAAACCTAGAGAAAAGCAGGATATAATATCTTAAATGCTCAAGGTTATTTTACCAGGTTTCTTAACACCATATAGAAGGACAGTGACCTAGTTTATACATTGCACTATACTATGGTTTGTTTAATCACAAGTAGCTGAGTTGATACAAAAGACTAAGCCGAAAAAAGACCGCATTATGATTTGCTACAGTGCATGAACTAAAGCAAAGCAATACAGATTAAGAAAACAATCTAGGTAACTGATCTGAAATATCCTTGCAATAGCTTGCTATTTATTTAAGTATCTTGAACACTTGTAAGTGAAAGGTCCTTAGAGGCAAAGAGGTACCATTGCCATAGTACCATGTGTTTCCTGTTGGTCCAGGTGGGAATAAAAAACATAACAAAGGTTTTTATGTTGCTGCTAATGAGTAGAAACACTTGTTACTGAAATTGCAACTAATCTCTTTGTTAAATAAAATTGATTGACAATAATAACAAACCTTTTGGAAGGCAGAGTTCCTCAATTTTTATTCTCTCTGATGAAGTGGATTGATTGATTGATTGATTGATTGATTGATTGGATTGATTGACTGATTAAATTTATATGCTGCCCATCTCCCCCAGAGATTGCAGGAACTATTTTGATATGTTGGGCCACCATCATCTCCATGAAAATTAGAGAAAAGTAATTTTGTAGTCTAACAAATCAAGAATGAATCCAGTGGAGACATTATTCTAAGAAAAATCAGTGGAGCTGAATAAACCTTCTAGCTTTAAAGATCTTCATTCTGATTAAAATCAAAATCTTCCCTTTTACAAAACTTTCTAACCAAGTAGGATGGTCCAAATCTTCACAGTGTTATCTCTATAATTATTTTATTTTTTTGCAATTTCCGTGAGTTTGCCAGTTTAAGAAAGTTGCAGATAATCAAGAAATGCTTCCTGGCGCAAAGGTGGCAAATGCATTTTATTTCAAGTCTAGACGTTAAGATAACTAACAGTACATTTAAATTAGCATACATTTTAATAAATTAGTGAATGTAAACCAAACAGCATTATGTTTGTTTCTGTGAGACTGATAGCAATTCTTATGCTTTACATATGGCATGAACACTGTGAGCTATGGCCACAATTTGTTTTATCACAATCACAGTCCAATTTGCTAGGTTAACAGGGCGAATGCTGTCAGTTTTTAATGGTATGTCTGTCTACAATCAAATCCTATCCACAATTTAATTGAAGACAAGAGGGCAGGCCTGGCTATGATACTGAGTCCTGCTGGACCTCACTGTACAGCCAAATTCTGTATATTGCATCAATCCGGTCTCCAGGAAGGGGTTGGTATAGTGGCAACTGTGTATCAGGAGACCCTGGCTGTTGTGAGGAGCCATTACCTGAACTGGTACTAGGAGACTTCTTTATCAGTCCCTTATTGTAGACAGATCACTTTCTCATAATAACTGGGTTAACTGGAGCCAAGTGAGTTAACTGGAGCAACCAACCTTCACAAAGAGGAGGGGGCAAATTCAGATAGCACACTCCAACTTTCTAAGAGATCTGGAAGGTTTTCTGATGATGCTTAGAAATTTTCCTTGCAACCAGTAAGGCAGTTATGTTGGCATTTGCTAGCCGCTGCAATACGGAGGTGGCCAAGGAGCTAGATGAAATTGTTGCCAAGTGGACTCTCCCTACCCCCTCATCCTGAGCAGGTCCTTGATTTTCTGAAGAGCTCCAAAAGATGAAGCAATTGAAGAGATGCCCGGAGCAGCACTTATAGAAAATAAGAAGCAGCATGATTAGGCCTGGGTATAAGCTAACCTTTGAGCCTATTCTGTAGTGAAAGGGATGTGCCTCCAACTCCAAACCTTTATTGGTGACCCAGAAGAATAACATAGTTAACAGTACTGAAAACTTCTGGGCGGTCCAGAAGGATAGGTCAGCAAAGTATTATTAGTTTTCCACAGCTGTAATGGCTGTGAGAATAACCTTGAGGAACAGGAGGAAGAACCACAGCCAAGGCAACAGTCAGATAAGAGAAATCTAAACCAAAGGCAGGAATGGAATTTGAAAAACATCTCAGACTTGACCCTCCCTAGTTCTATTAGGATAAAAGCAGGGAAGGGCAAGGTGCATTCAGAGTTTCTGTTACTGTAAACTTATACCAAAAGTAGTTTTAGTATTCATGACTTTGGCACTCAGGTCTAGTCTACCTCAGAGGGCTGACACCACCCTTATTGCATCTGCAGAATGATATTAAGTTGTCCTAGATCATATTAGGGAAGGGCAGGCCAGAAAATCAGTCACTACAAATTGTGACTATCACCGAACATTTTGAGGATAAAATTGCTTGTATTTACTCTGAGTTGGAAACTGGATGGATGGAATCTAATGAGACAATTAGGGCTGACCTCTTTAAATGTTACTTGGGAGGTTTTTGAGCCTGTGGACCTCAAGGATTAGACTGGTTTTTTGTGATGCATGTGGACTGAGCACTTGCCCCACCTGGCTGAGCAAGATAGCTAGAAAGAAGATTAAGAATCAAATCCACATGATAGTCAACACTTCTTTGAGGAAAGGATAGGTTCCAACAGCTTTGAGAGAGGCACTTGTCCACCCACTCCTCAAGAGGCCAGCCTCTGATCCAGTGTTAATGGATAACTACTGTTCTCTTTCCAACCCCTCGTTCTTAGGAAAGGTTGCTGAGAAAATGGCCATTTGACACTTAGAAAGAGCTCTGACAGAAATGGATTATCTGGACCAATGGCAGTCTGGATTCAGGGCTGGCATTGGGCAGAAATTTCATTGGTTGCTCTCACTGAGAATTAGTGGCAGGAGTTGAATGGGGCATGCATTCTTTTCCTTCTGGACCTCTCAGACATTTTCAGCACTATTATTCTTCTGGGCCACCAGTAAAAGTTGGGATTTGGAGGTAATACTGTGGTTTTGTTGCTTCCTGAGTGGGCAGGTCCAGCCAGCATTTGCAGAAAGGAATCCGTCAAGCCCTTGGGTCCTTCATTTTAGGGCTTCCCAGAATTTGGTCCTTTCTCCAAACCTGTTTAATATCTTCATGAAAATACTGGGAGAGGTCATCCATTGCTCTGAGGTGAGGTATCATCACCATGCAGATAATACTTTACATTATATCTCTATCTGGAATGAAATGAGAGATTAGTAGAAATTCTGAATCAGTGCCTGGAAGTTGTAGGGCCTGGATAGGGAGAAACAGGCTCTGATTCAATCCAAGCAAGACAGACTGGCTGGAAATTTCAGCAGGTGTAAAATGCAGCAACCTGTGTATTTACTGGCCTGTCTTCTTAACCTTGGGGATCTGTGGATAGATGTCAGGGAGTCCATGAACATGGGTGGGACAAAAGTTACAGCTTTATTTTCACTATTTTATTTTATGCATTTACATACATCTTTCTGAGAAGGAATCCACAGGTTTCAACAGACTCTCAAAGGGGTTCATGTCACACAAATTAAGAACCTCTGCTATAAAGACTCCCCTCCTCTGGAGCAGCTTGGTCCTCAAAGCAAGAATGACTCCCACTTTCCCAGTCTTCTGGAGGCTCATAAAAAACTTCCTGAACATTTCAGGAAGTTCAGGATTGATTCAATATGAAGTCATTGGTGCCAGAAATGTTGTTGTTGTTGTTGTTACCACGTACATTATTATATTCTGATATTATTTTTTATTGTTAATTTGCATTTTGTACATCACCTAGAATTCATTTTGGAATTAGGCAATAAATAAATCTCAAATAAAGTGGTTAAGAAGTTTTCCTTCCATCATTTTGATGTCTCCCTGGCTCTCCATACTCCTCAATCTGAAAACCCCCAGTGGGAAATTTTCCCTCTAATATCTTCTCTTGGGATCTAATTGCTGCTACTTTGAAATAAATTTCAAAATCATTTTTTCTTTCATCACACTGAATAAGAACCGGTGGAGAAAAAAATGGAGAATTTTTCTGCATGGCACAATTCTATACTGCAGTGTTCATGCACTTGTGCACCTTAGCTCTGAAGCATCCTTAGGTTCTTTCTTGGGCTTATACAGGAAAGTATATGCACATGTAGGTGAGACATCTGCCCTCAGGGATGGCCCTACTATTAGGCACAATGGAGCAGCTGTGTTGGGCAGCAAGTGCTGAGATACAGGCAATATCTGCTCACCAAAACCACTGAGCCACTCAAGCAAGCTTGCTGCCCAGAATGCAGGAGAAGAAACTGTCCTATCACTGACATTGAAATAAGATTCAGCTGCTATTCTAGCTGGGTTCTGTACATGAATAGATGAAGCAGCAACATCATACCCTTTGCCTTAAACAGCAAAATATCTTAAGCTGGTTCCAGGTGCCAGTTACTGGTAACTCATTTATAAGTAGCACGTGGGTCATACCAAACTGCAAACTTCCAGAAACTCTCACATAACAATTGCATAAGAATAGAGGGCTAACTGCTATAGTTTCACTGGTTAAACAGGAGTTGCCATAGATTGGCATTTAAACAAGTCTGCCTTAAACACCTTCAGGTCAGGATTTGCAGAAAATGAAATATGGCAATATTCTTCTGACTTTTGAATTTCATCTGAATGACTTGCTATTTTATCATTCTGTGTCTTATATAGTTTTTCCTTCACTAGTAGAAGTGAGGGGTCAGAAAGCTATGTTTTCCTAAGTATTGATCAATGTAATTAAAGCTGTAAAATGTGATACTCTTAAAAGATCTAATTCTTAGTGAATATTTTATGTTTCTTTATCTGTTTCTTTGTTCTTTCTGGCAGATGACCTTTGATCCTTCCATCTTCTTCAATGTTCTATTACCTCCCATTATATTTCATGCAGGATACAGTTTAAAAAAGGTAAGTGGTTTCTTTTAACAATAGCAGACAGTCTGCTGTAGTTGACTGGAGCATCACTAGGGCCAAAATGTTTTAATTTGATCAGAGAGATCAAAGGAAGGAAAAGAAAAAATGTTTCCAACTGCAAATTACCATTTTGATTCTTTTTATTACACAGTTTAATCATGTAGGCCTTCCTTTCAAATGCTTAACTACATTGGTAGTAGTTACAAAAAGTAGCAAAAATACAGACCTAATCACCAAAAATTAATTTGGCTCTGTTTATAGGCTCAATCCTGGCTGCATTCTTTTAAAAACTAGGTACTTTTTAAATTACAATATTGCAATACTCAAAACTCTTCAAGGCATTCTCTTTCTTGGGAAAATCTCTCAGGTTTTCTAAACCCAGAGAAAAAGCAGTCTTCATTACCCAAAAAAGTGGCTCACCTTTCAAATAATACAACAAATAAACAGTTAATAATGTGAAACTGAATGAAAGGTATTAACTTTCAATGCAACACAAAATGCTACATCCTTCTTAAAATACTGAGACTATATAACCTGACCATCCTTTAATAAATATTCTGATTTCAACACCTGTTGCTATCACTTTGTGAATAAGTCAATCTTCGAATGATAGGAATTTCTTAATGACATCATCATTAAGATAATAGTCCAGACAAATTGCTTCCAACAATCTCACCTCTACCAGCATCCTAGAAGGTATAGATAAGTGGCTCATCACAGAAGTGGACAGCTGTGTCCCTTCCATCTGTAATTCAAGCAATGCAACTGGAAGAAATATGTTTCATTGACCGTAAGCTTAAAGATGTATTAGAGAAAACATTTCTTACTTCTGGAATATAAGCATTCACAATTGTAATTTGTAATTTAAATATAAAAAGTGGGTTGAAATCAATATGTAGGATTTGATGGACAACATAAAATAGCACTATAAAGTATGCAGCATTCACACGACTGTTTTTGTCTTTTTTGCTTCACAGAGACACTTTTTTCGCAACTTAGGATCCATTTTAGCATATGCTTTTTTGGGGACAGCTGTCTCTTGTATTGTAATAGGGTAAGTAAAATCCACTTTCCATTGTGTGCTGTGATGATACCTAGGTGTGTGGAAAATCTATTTGAGGAATGCTATGTTTCAGTTCCACTTTTAAAAATTACAGCCAGCAAACATACAGGTAGTCCTTGCTTAGCTACCACAATTGGGACTGGCAATTCCATTGCTAAGTGCCATGGTCACTAACCAGAAAACCACACAACCATGACGTACTTACAACATCACTTCCCATTTGGTCATTAAGCAAGTCACCACAGTCATTAAGTGAGACATGTGCCTGCAACTTGCAATTTTACCTCTGTGTTCTTCATTAACTCTACTTGTCAGAAGCTGGTTGTAAAGCACACAATAGCAATCACGCGACTGTGGGATGCTACAACAGTTGTAAATGCAAGGATTGGTCACAAAGCTGGTTTGTTACAGCATTGTAACTTTGAATGGTTGTTAAATGAGGCAGTCAGTAAGCAAGGACTACCTGTATATAATCTCCCTGCAGTGGCTGTTAAATTACTATAATCCTCTGGTTAAGTATGCATGTTTCATCTAGTCATACTTCTTTATAGGTGTTGTAGTTTAAATACTGAATAAAACAATTATTTCTATATGTATGCTTTGAGTATCCTACTAAATGTTGATAAACTACTCCAACATTCTATTATGCCTTTTGCCAAGTTCATAAGCAAGGTATAGCAAAACAAGCAAGACATGGCAGAAACAAGCACTCTCTGTTGATTATCTCCTGCATCTGACCCTCAAAGGTATACTGTCTTAATGCATTTGGATAAAGTTAGTCTGAATGGAAGGATGGTTTGATGGAAAAAATTTAGCATATCATCACAAAGCATAATTTTTGTTGTTGATGTATAATTTTTGAATATTTTTCATTTTGGGGTAAATAACCGCAGTACGTAGAGAACAAAGTTCACCTGCTATTTCAGTAAAAAGAGTTTCAATCTGCTGCAGCAGAATGTATCTGGATATGCATCAGAAATTGCTATGGTTGCATACCTCATTCTAAATCCTGCAGGAACTGGTATACATGCTCTCCAACATCTGTTCCGAAATTCTAGGAGTTTGCAACCTTAAGCCCTATTCAGTGATGGGATAATTTCTTGCCATGATAAGGATTTTATTTGGGCTTGGAAAATTAGTGCTATGGAAACAGACATCAGTGGCCTATTTATTCTGAACCAAAGTATAAGGCAGTCATGTGGTGCCAAGTTATATCATTAGGAGTGTTACTTGGTCTGATTATTTGCTCAACAATTTCTGATGAAATTTGAAGCCCTTCCATTATCTTCTGCTTTTCTCTCCCCTCCCCCCCCCCTTTTTTTTTTTTTGGTTCATGCACTCCTTCCTTCTCCATAGTCTAGCATCTTCAAAATACAGGTGCAAGTCCAGATGGGAAAAGTTGCTTAAGTAAACAATCAGTGCAATATAAGTAGCTGTGAGACCGAACCTTGAGCCTCCTCCTGTTTACAACATAGGCTCAGAGTGTTATCTGAAGTCAAGATTATATTCTGATGTACATACATTAACCAGTATTTGGCTCTTGACAAAAGCCCATCTTGGTGAAGTTATAGTCTATTCCAAACAATTCATTAGCATGCACCAATGAAAGCATACTGTAAATTCAAGTAATTTCTGGGGAAACGTTAAAAAAAAAAATAGTGTCATTTTGGCACTGTTGAAACAACAGTATCTAGCTAGATTGTATTTTGGAATTTAAAACCCATTAGAATGCATTTTCTTGTTTTTGTTTTTTTTTAAACAAGTTTAAAAGCTTGTTTTCTTGTATTCAGGTCAGTCCTTATTCAGTCCAATCCTAACTTTCCCTTCTCTGGTTTCCTCCTTTGTAGTTAACTGTAGTTTCCTCCTACTGTAGTTAACTGATATCTCAGTACTCTGTGGAGATGGTACGAGGAGAGCAGTGTTAGTCTCTAGCAACAAAAAATCAGGAGTCTAGTAGCACCTTTTCCAGTGAGCGCATTTTATTAAAAGGCAGAAGCTTTCGTGAACTGCAGTTCAGTTCATCAGATGCATACAGTAACCAGACTAATGTAGGATTTAAACTGGGGTGAGGTAGAGTGGGAAAAGGGAGGGGGAGATAGGTTGGTTATATAGATGCAGGTTACATGTGAAACAGATTCTAAGTACCTTATCCATTAATAGTTGAAATATATTAAAAACTCGTGTTTCTTGAGACCATCTGAGAAGCCCAGGCAATCACATAAAATATGAGGCAATCTCAGAAGAGCTCAACAAATGCAAACCAACCTACCTGGCTTTTTGAGAATTGGTAGATAACTTTTTAATCTGTTTATCTCATCAATGCTATTTGCAAGCTGCATATAATGTAACTAAAATGACAAAAATTGTTCTCGCGTATTAAGTACAGAGCAAAAATAGATTCTATAGGAGACATTAATAGATCAATTTCATTTTGATTTATTCATTCATTTTAATAAAATTGCAGCTCAGAGGAGTCTGGCTGCCAAAAGATGGAGGGAATCCTTTTGTCCCCAGAATATTTCTCCCTCTTCAGATTGTATGCATAGGATCTTTCCCACTGAGTTCAGGTATGAGTAAGCAAGATTATATCTAAGATTTTAATGACACCACAATGAAGAGGACAATGATGTGTGTTTTTTAAGGATTTCCAAGAGAGCTGATCTTTTGAAGGAATGGATAATTGTTGTTGTTGTTCATGCTGCTGTTGCTATTGCTATTTTCAATGTGTTAGGACTATTTTAGGGTTTCTGAAAGGCTCTAGAAACATGGCTCTGTGAATGTACCTGGGGATCCCATTAACATTCAGAGGCTGCTAGATGACTGTATTGATTGATGCATGACTTGCACTTGCCTCTGTATTGTGTTTTCTGGTTTTAATTTGGTTTTAATCTGGCTTTAAAGGAGTTATTGTTTTTATTGATATTTGTATTTTGCTGATTGGTTGTGTTGCTTGTTTAATTATGTGAGCTGTCCAGAGTTACAAATGTGAGATGGGTGGCTATACAAATTGAATGTGTGTGTGTGTGTGTATTAAAACACTTCTTGTTGTATCTCAAACCTCAGAATGATAGGAAACCACACTACTGATTATTGACAATAGTGTCACTGAAATTTGCTGGAGGCTCTAAAGCAAGTTTCAAGGCCCACATGTATTTATTTTTAATTATTTCATAACTTAAATTATATTAAATCAGCTGATTATAACTCCTTTTATATAGTCCACAGTATTTACAAAGAATGAGAGGATGTATCCAGGGAAAGTACTGCGAGACAGTTTCCATTAGATGGGAAAGCACATAATACTTACAGAAGCTTTGAAGAACAGCTGTCTGGGATAAAATATCCCTATAGTATTTTCAAATGGTAAAATGAGAAAGAGTGTATTTTGGCACTGTAGAAGGGGAAGGAATTCCCAACTTTTTTAAAAAGAAAAATGATGAACTTGTTTTCATAGCTAATAGCAGCCATATGTTTATTAGCCACAGTTCCTTTAGTGTGTGATGCTACGTGATAGGGTGTCATCTGAAAAGAATTACTATGGCAGCACAGGGGGGCATTTCTGTTTGCACAAATAATGTAGAATAGTGTAAGGAAGGAAGAATTCCCTTCACTCGCTGATATTTGCCCCAGAAAGTGAAACTGAAAGAATCAATTTAATCTTACATACGAACCCATCTATTCTCTCCAGCTGCTTCCAGCCCTTTCATATGTCAGTGAATACTGGGAAAATGTATAGTTGTTCATTTACCAACCAACGGTTGCAGTTTTCAACTATCTACTTATGCCTGACATTCTTAAAATTTTTCCAGTTCTTAGAACTTTCTCTTTAGTGCTTCATTTTTGTAACTGCCAATTACCTCTGACTGGCCAAATCCTTGTGATTCTCAGCTCTAGGTTTCAATTGGCTAGAGTCTGGAAATCTTTAAAAATTACATATTTAGGACAAAATAGCAAGTGGGAGAGATAAAAAAAGAAAATGATGCAGATGGAAAAGGTTTTATCCTCTTCTCCCATGCCTTGATCCCAATTAATGGGCCCAGGGTTGCTATTTGAAAACTTGAAAAAAAATGAGAATGTATGAGTTCACATCAGTAACTTTGCCCTAACTCAGTCCTAACTAAAATCTGTCACTGAAATTCTAAGTGAGCATTAGTGTCTTGTAACTGATAATCAGACATGGCTCTATGTTCTCCAAGTTTTCCTTTATGGTATCTTTAATTTCTTCTGTAAAAGATTCCCACAAAACTGAATTCTGAAGTCCCTAGTCCTGGTTCTTTTATTAGTTCAAAATTTCTCTCCAGGACAGGGATATAATAGAAGTCCACCATGGGAATGAAATGATGCAATTTGCAGATGCTTTTGAGTCACAAATGGGAAGCACTGAATAGAATTTATTTCAAAAATTGCACAAAACAGCATATCAATGGGAAAAATGCACACAAAAGAGGATAAGTTTTATGAAGAGTGAATTCAATTTTTAAAAGTATATACTTTATTAGCATAACAAAAAGCATATATGAAATACTGAAAACCTGAAATACTGAAATGTATTAGGCTGCCTTAACTGGGAATGAGTGAGAAAGAAATATGCAAATATAAATTCAGGATTGCTTCCAAAAGGCTATATAATTTAGGACAGATGTGAATGAATGCAGATTTTTCAGCTTTTTTTTTAAAAAACAAAACGTTGGAAGAACAGAATGATGGGCCAGTTCTAAACTGATTTATACATTCCCTACCTCCTGGAAAATATTCTACAACTAGTGTTAAACATTCCTCACTGGATTTAATTGCCTTCCAATGAAAGAACTTTATAATAACTGCTTTATTTACAAGTGTATAAGCAGAGAACATTGAAAGAAATGGTACCTTATAGCTCATTCTTTAATAGGCACCAAAGCAGAGCAACTACTTGATCAACCAGCTGCTCTCAGCCCAGATAAACCAGCATCTACACCAACCACTACCTACTATTTTTCTTTCTGTTCACA